GCAGGAAAAATTCCTTCCACCCCCGGGGCACCTGTTCCAAACCCCCCAGAGTGAACACGCCCACCCACAGGAAAAGTACAATGGATATAAGAAAGGGAAATATTTATTTAAAGAGGGATGAGAGGAGAAAAGCAATAAGGGGAAATGTAGGGGGAGCAGTACAACAGGGTTGCATCCAAACCAAGGCCCCACGTGCCCAGTGGTGGCACAGTCTGGAAGGGCAGACACTGAGCAATGTGTCTGCACACAGAGTTCAGGAGTCCTGAGCAAAGTTCCAGTCCAGTGGTGAGTCTTGGGTGCTCCTGGTCGTCTTCGGTGCCTGTGAACTTTCCCCCAACGAACCCCTCCGGTGACCTCTTCTGCCGCTCTCTGCAAAGCCACACAGAGCGACCACCTCCCCACTTAACTAGCTAACAGCCTCCCTCCTTCTTCCCAATGCAGAGTCACTAGCCCCATACTCACAGCCCCATGCAGCTCTGGGCAGCAGTGATACTGGGTCCAGCTCCAGCCTGTCCTTCCCAGGCTTCAGGCAGGTTCTCTCTGCTTCACTTTGTGAGGGCCTGCGGGCTGCAGCCCTTCTTTCTCTCTGCAACTCCAGAGCCACCTCCTGGACTTTCCCTCCTTACTCTCACTTCTCCCCCTCCCCCTTGGGAAAAAGATTTAAAGGGCCATGCTCTCTAAACCCCAAGGGGTTACACCATATGAGATCTTTCCAGGAGCTTCAGACCTTTCATTCCCCCTCGGGCAGGGGTGAGGTACTGCCGTGATCATGGATGGTAGATGAAACCTTACTCCAGGGCCACAATGGGAGAATGATGGGCACAGGCAGCATTGTCACCCTATCAGATAGTCAGTGGCGCCAATCAGACTTTCTGCCCACAGAAAACATGTTACCACTCCCCTCGCACCCCTCCTCTCCTCTCCTCTCTCCCCCTTACATGCATTTGGTTGCGGCTTTGGAGAGTTAATCCATAGATGCTGTCCCCTCTGTTCTGCGGCTTCTTGCCATGTTGGTTCAGTAGGGGCATGTCCACAGAAAGGTGGCAGCTGCCCAGAGGCAAAGGTCCAACTGAAATGTCCTGCATCACTAGCTGGCAGAGGCAATATTCCTCCAGCGGTTCTAACCGAGCGATATTACAGTGATGGGATGCAGTTCTACATCGTAGCAAGTTGTGTTGCTTTAAGTCACAAATTCCTGCAGCAAGAGGAAGAATGACTGGGTCTGCAAACTAACCCCAGGGGAAATGCTGCCTCAGAGATGAAGCCCTTAGCAATGTCACTGTTCAGCTCCTGTCTTAAACGGACGGGTGGTGGCGACCTCAGCCTTCGGTCACCTGTGAAGCTGCTCTGTGCAACCAGCGTTTCTACGTGCCGCCACCAAACAACTGACAGCTCCAGTAGCAATAGCACTGCTGGCAGCTGCTGCCAGACATATGACAGTAATAGAGCTGCCGTGGACTGTTGGATCTGTCAGTGCCCTGTGGCCTCCCCTTTCTAGTCAACTTCTCTGTTTCTCCATCCATCCATCCATCGCTGGACAGCAGCGTCACAAGCTAGCACAGCAGTGAGCCAGCGAGATTTTCCCACTGGCTCTTTTCCAGTATGTTTGATGCTTTGAAATGAAGCAAAACATTTCCCCCCATCCCTACCTATGGCATCTGTGCTTGCGTAGCCGGTAAGCGTGTGTTGGGGGTTTTGTGAGATCTGGTCACAGGCTCTATGAAACCTAGGCTAGCCCTGCTGATAGAAGGCGTCACTTCCAGAAATGGCCTCTGGCTGGACAGAGCAACTGAATCAGCCAGTGAGAAATGGGGTTTGCTCAGATAGCTGGGGTGAAAGTGACAGAGAGAGAGGAGGGATGACCCACTGGGTAGGGTACCACCAATTGGTTCAGAAGATCAAGGTTCAGTTCCCTGCTTTGCCACCGACTCCTTGTGCGACTGTGGCCAAGTCACTTAGGCATAAACTTTCAAAAGTGGCACCTAGCTTTGAGTGTCCAAATTTTAGACTTAATGGTGCTGATTTCCAGAGGTGCCAGACACCAACGGCTCCCAAGGAAACCAAGGACATGGGTGGGTGCTCAGGAGAGATGGGCAGGAAATGGTTTTCTTGTACCGGGAAAATGTTTGGTTTTTTTTCTTTTCCCAAAATATTTTCCCATCGTGAATCAGGAAGAACAATCGAAATCTCAAATTTTCATGAACCAAAATAAAATAAATCAGTTTGGATCAATTGATACATTTTGCTTAGACAATTCTGAAACATTTTGTTTCAATGTGAACTATTTTTTAATTTTCTTTCATGATTTTTACTATAATTAACTCCGATTTCAAAATGAAAAGTCACTTCCAACAAGGACACCAGAATATTTTGTTTAGAAAATATCAGACCAGGACGTTCTAACAATTTTTGAAACTTTTTGGGCAGAGAAATGGATCAAAACCGACTCTTTCCCACAAACAGTTTTGGTTTCAACAAACTAATATTTTTTTTGGATGGGAAATCAGCTAACTGAAAAATTCCTGACCGGCTGTGGTGCTCAGCACCTCTGGAGAGGCCGTCCCCCAAAGTGTCCAAAACTGGACACTCAAAATTAGAAGTCAGTTTTGCACATTTGGGCCTAATTTCTCTGGGCCTCATTCCCCCAGCTATAAAATGGAGATAATAGCACTGTGCGACCTGCCAGGGGCATTGCAAGGACGTATGTATACACTAAAATTGAGAGGTGCTCATACACTCCAGTAAAGGGGGCTGTGTAAGTACCTTGGATTGGTAGATGGGTGCTGCCTAGCCTACATTCTATTACACGGAAGGAATTTGCAAGAGCTCAGCTGGCCGGTGTCCTGCAGTTGAGACCCCTGTCAAGGCTCATAAGACTCCCATATTCTGCATCGAGCCTGTTTTCAAAGGTGTCTGTTTTGTGTCTCTGCCCTCGCAAACCCCATTCCAGGTGACCCGGAACAGGAAGTCATGCTGAAAACCAAAACGCCTAAGGCAACAGTGGGGGGGCTGAGCCCCACGAAGGAATACACCCTGCAAATCTACGTGCTCAATGGCTCCCAAGAAGCCCTGTTTGCTAAAAGGAAATTTGTGAGTAAGTATGATGCACAGTATGTGCTGTCCCCGTTGGCATGGCTTACAGTGCCCGGACAAGCGGGTTTCCTCCGAGTTAGTCCTCTAAAGATATGTCTGTGGATGCACCCGAGCTAGCTTTAATGGAGCCAAGGAAGTTGCAGCCGCCCGTATTTCAGCGGGGGTTGTACAAGCCCTCCCAGAGCACTGGGTAATTACATGCGGGACGAGCCCATATTGGAGCATGTGGTGCTGCAGCTTCCCTGTCCCTGATCAGAGCTAGCTCGGGTATGTCTCCTCCAGCTGCAGTCACACCCTGTGAGGGCAGTGTCCACATCCCGTGAGTGGCGTTGGACATTGACATGGCCTTCTGAACTGTCTTTTTGTGGTGATTGTGGTCGGAGTGGTGGTAGAGGGCACAGGGAGAGCCTGAGAGCTGCAGTTCGTGGGGCCGATCTCAGTGGCACCAGGTTTACGCCGACTCCCTTTACTTCTCCACCTTCTCCTTTGCTGCTGCTGCTCCTCTTGCAGTTCAGGAGCTGAAAAACGTCTCGCAGGCTAGAAATACCCGAAGGAACACAGCGACCTCCCCAGGAAACAGCATCACTCCTTTGAGAAATACAGCAACTGAGCACATTCCAGCGGCTAAGACAACGTCACCGGCTCCGAGTGAAGCCTCAACACAGACAGGTATGTGCAGGGTCGGTGCACAGGCCAACAACCACAGAGAGCCAGGAGAAGGCAGGGTAGCAGATGGGGGAAGGAAGGAGAATGGGGCAGGGACTATCTTACTGTTCTGTGTTTGTACAGCTCCTAGCACAATGGAGCCCTGGTCTGTGGCTGGAGGTCCTAGATGCTGCCACAATCCAAATAATAAATGATAATCTGGCTATCAGAAGGGAATATTTCCCAGCAACCTTCCTAGAGGATGCCTTTCAGTTCTGGGTCAAGGACAGGATGCCTCGTCCGAGAATCCAGGAGGATTCCTCAGGGTTCTGTGGAAGTGTAAGGATGAGACCTCCCTTCGCTTCACCTCTGGGTTCTCCCTCTGAGAATGCAGAGCCCTATTTTTCCTGAGCCTTTGATCATTTAAAAAACACCCTGACAATGGGCCAAATTCAGCCCTGGAGTAAATCTTACTTCAGGTACACAGTAGTCGGCATATTGCTTCCCCTCCAGCTAGACAAAGCTTGTCCGTGCACACCTGGGGCTCGCAGGAATTCAACTCCAAGGGATGCATTCACATCTGGTAACTGAGTACCAGCCCCTTTAAAAAAAAATCCATGGCTGGTTATATGTAGACATCACAGCCCTAGTTCATGACACTTGGCACGGCCATATAGGAGTCCATGATCTACTGCGGTGACAGAATTTAAGATTTTGGTTCCAAAAACCTAAGTCCCTACCTCTTCACCGATAAGAGAAACTCCATTAGAAGCAGCAGGGTTAGGGCTTATAGCCCCTGTGAGCCAGCCACTGGGGGTATGACACACTTGTGCCAGTCTGCCACTCCATCCAGTAGAACTCAGTGGTGAGACACACACACACACACACACACACACACACACTCACACACTCTTAGCCACTGTGTTCCAGTATGTTCAGCTTGTTCCTCTGAATGGGAGGTGCATGACGTGCTAAGGAGAATGGGCTGTTTCTCTTTTGTGATGCTGTGGAGTGCAGCAAAAGACAGACCTGAAAAGAGAAGACAGAAGGCAACAGTATCCAAGGGCTCCAGTGAAACCCTCGGAAGGAAACCAAACACCAAGTTCGGTGTGACAGAAACACTGACAGTGCTGAAAACAACTCTGCGCAGCCCCACAAAATCTGAGCGAGGAGATCTAGGCCAAGGAAAACACACAAAGGAAACTTTAAAGAGAGGTGAGTCTTGTTTCTAACACAACTTCTACCCCTCCAGAATGCACCCAGGAAAGTTATTCAGCTTTAAAAATATTCACCATCCTACCCAAAGAGGAGAAATTGCCTCTGAACAATCCAAGCAAAGGGAGAAGGGTATTCCCAGTAGTCTTAGGTATTTTTATGGCATCTCCACATTCATGAATCTTGTCAAGAATACGGGTGTTTGTTCAGTTTGCTATTATGTGTGGGGTCACGATTTGGAGAACTGCCAAGTACTGATGGAAATGCTCGCAGCTCTGCAAAGTGTCACAGACCTTAGTGCAAAAATTCCTACTGGGAAGTGCACTGACTCGTTAACTGCTCTTCTCCACTCATTATTCTCTAGTGTGGAAGTTTCAGGCATCCACTCAAGAAGTAAAAACAACACCGTGTGACCTGTCATGCACTGCAAATAATGAATAGTTAATAGTCAAACTGAAAAGCCTTGCAGACGGAAAGATTTTCATCCAAATTATTCAGCAGATCTGTCTTTCCTTCTTATAATGGAGAGGAAGGATGCTCCAGTGGTTAGGGCACTAGACAAGAACTTGGAGGACCTGACTTGAAGTCTCTGCTCTTTCACAAACTTCCTGTATGGTCTTGGACAAGTTTAGTTTCTCTATAAAATGGGGATAATACCCCTGTGAGGTGGGACAGTGCTGTTGTGAGGATTAATGCACTAAAGGTTGTGAGGCACTCAGATACCATAGCAATAGGGGTCATATAAGTACCTTAGAGATAGATAACAGTTCCTATGATTGCAGCCGAGTAGCAGAGACTCGGGAATAACTAATACATTCACAGATATCTGGATCATATGCAAAGGATTTTCAAATGGGGGGTGGGAGGGAATGGCTAGTTTTACAAGAAATAGCACCAATAGTGCACAGTGTGTCCATCAGCGAACTCTAGTTTTCTCCAGGCCTTTTGTCCTGTCTCCTGGGGCCTTCTCTTCCTTAGGACAAAAGGTGTATTCTTAACTTGAGGTAAAATTCTAGTGAATGCAGGCTGCTTGTTTTCACAGGAGTTACCAGGTTGAATTAAAGGCTCCTTTTAGTCTGTGATTTGACCTGCTAACTCGTGTGAAAAGTACAAAGCCTTGTCTTCACAAGGGTTTCACTTGTATTGGTTAGCTCGGATTAAGAACACACCTTTTGTCTAAAGGAGAGACCGCCTAAGTGACACTGGATTTGCTCCCTCAGTCTCATCAATGGGGAATGGCAATTGAGTGGCCAGGAGGAATCAATCCAGGGGATCACCAATGGAAACCAGATTGTCCTGCATGCCTGAGTCTGGTCCGTCCGCAGAGACCAGTGGAATCCCTGGCCGTCACATGGTAATTCTGTGAGATGCGGCAGGAATGCGTTCTGCAGTGCAGCCTGTTCTCTCTTGCCTGGTACCCTCTGGTGTTCACCCAAAAAAAAGTAAAACGTCCATCTGAAAAAAAAATCAGGGGAAAATTGCAGCTTATCAGTGATGTGCCTTATCTTATTCCCTGCTAGCTGCAGGCATGGGCTAGGGAGGGAGGTGTACAGATACACGGTGCCAACAGTTTAGGAAGAGATTAGATTTACTATAGAGAAAGCATCTGAATAATTATAGCCCGTAGGGGATCTCCTGCTGGAATGGAACTAAATAATCACCTGAGATTCCATAAGTTTTAGTGTGATATAAAGGAAAGAGCTGGATTAGAGCTGAATGTAATGGAGCTGACAGTTTACATAGAGCGGGGCTTAGGCGAGGCATATTTCCTAAAAGGTTTAACTTCTTTACCCCAAGAACATCCCCCTTCACTCCTCTACACCTGTGTGCTGATGCTATAAGCAAGCTTGTACTCAGCCAAGTGACCAGGCAAAAGGTGATGCCTTGTTGTTGATCTCTCTCTCCTTGGAAGCAAGAAAATTGGTTGTGATTCTGGCCTTGGCACATCGTTTTATCTCTTGGTGCCTCAGTTTGCCAATCTGTGAAATGGAAATAATACTTGTAAAGCTCTTTGAGATCCAAGCATTCCAGAGGCACAAATGATTGTGTCTTAGAGTTGTACCTGCTTGGTGGATTATTTAATGGCAAAACTCAGTTGAGGAGGAGAGAGTGGGATTCTATTCTGCCTTGCTGATCAATCATCTACCTTATAATGGCAAATTACTGTACATTATCTGCAGTCTTGTACAGAAAGCCTAAGCTTGATTGTCCAGACATAGGCTGAGTTTGCAGCACTGATAGGTAGTACTATCACGGACTAATGCTCTAACCTAATCACTGCAATTTATGGGGATCACAGACTATTGGTCCATCTAACCACAAAATGGGGTCTGGTTCTAATGAAGTTATGAAAGTTTCAGCTTTGACGTTTCACAAACCTGATTCTTGCCCTTAAAGCCAAGGGGATGTGTTTTGATTCGTGGTGCTGGGGCTCTCTTGTCACAGCTCCTGCATCCTCCGACTGATCTCAATCACTGTGTCTCCTAGGTCCTCAGTTTCGATGTGACACATCTGCCACAACTGATATCGTCCTGCTGGTGGATGGGTCTTGGAGTATTGGACGCAGCAACTTCAAGCTTATCAGGGAGTTTCTGAGCACCTTGGTTTCACCATTCAGTATTGCCCGGGATAAGATAAGGATAGGTAAGAGAGCTTCTTGTCTCCAGGCCTCCAGCTACAGAATCAGGATAAAACCCAGCACATCTCCTCTCCTGGGAATAAGAATGAGGAGTACTTGTGGCCTCTTAGAGACTAACAAATTTATTGGGGCATAAGCTTTCGTGGGCTAAAACCCACTTCATCAGATGCATGGAGTGGAAAATACAGTAGGAAGATATATCTATACAGAGAACATGAAAAGATGGGGGTTGCCATACCAATTCTAACGAGATAAATCAATTAAGGTGGGATATTATCAGCAGGAGGGAAAAAAAACTTTTGTAGTGGTAATCAGGATGGCCCATTTCAAACAGTTGACAAGAAGGTGTGAGTAACAGTAGGGGGGGAAATTAGCATGGGGAAATAGCTTAAAACTATAATAGCCTGCCTTCATTGATTTGTCTCGTTAGAGTTGGTATGGCAGCCCCCATCTTTTCATGTTCTCTGTATATACACCTCTACCTCGATATAACGCTGTCCTTGGGCGCCAAAAAATCTTACCGCGTTATCGGTGAAACCGCGCTATATCGAACTTGCTTTGATCCGCCGGAGTGCGCAGCCACGCCGCGCCCCCCCCCCCGGAGCACTGCTTTACTGCGTTATATCCGAATTGGTGTTATATCGGGTTGCGTTATATCAGGGTAGAGGTGTGTATATATTCCTACTGTATTTTTCACTCCATGCATCTGATGAAGTGGGTTTTAGCCCACGAAAGCTTATGCCCAAATAAATGTGTTAGTCTCTAAGGTGCCACAAGGACTCCTCGTTGTTTTTGCTGATACAGACTAACGCGGCTACCCCTCTGAAACCTGTCTCCTGGGAATGTCTCCTACACTTGGAGAGGATGTGCTTGTTGACCATTCTACGAGCCTAAATGATCTGCTAATGGCTCTGTTTTTCACAAAGCTGAACAAATGCATTTTTAAGCAGCGAAGCTAGACGGATAATGAACGTCGCCCTTTGAGTGCCATGTCATACATGCAGTCCTTGAAAGGATAAGGAGGGCATTAGGTCCCATCCAATTCTATCTTGTTTAAGTGCCCCTCCGGGCAGCTCTAGGATTTGCATTTTTGCACTTTGTTCTCAGCCAACCTCTTTCACGTGGCTGCACGTTGGATCGTATGCTTGCGTATTGACAGCGATTCTTGTCTGACCTCTAGTGGTTGTAACAGACAACTACAGTGTGTGCTGTGGCCCACATTTTGAGGAGCACTTCAGACATTCAGTGCCTCGTGCAGTGGCAATACAATGAATAAATAGTAACAAGAGGCTGGGGAAGAGAAAAGTTGGGCCGGTGTAACTAAAGGGAGAAAGGTGACGCAGGTATGGAGTGGGAGGTGAAAGGGAAGAGCAGAAGGGAACTGTGGGATGGAATAGGAACCTGGCAACCGCCTTAATGACAATAATACCTAGCTCTTACATAGCGCTTCAGATCTCAAAGCGCATTGCAGGGGAGTCAAGAACCATTATCCCCCTTTCAGAGGTAGAGAAATTGTTGTAGAGAGGTGACTTTGCCCACAGAAGGCCAGCGGTGGAACTGGAAGTAGATCTCAGATCTGTTTGGCGCACTATCCGGTAGCCAACGCTGCCTGGCTATGGCAATCCTGGGAAAAAGCAGCTTTCATCTTGCTGCTTAACCCCTTGGTTGCACTCTGTTGACTGCTCTTGCCTTCCCCAGGTTTGTCCCAGTACAGCAGTGATCCACGGACGGAGTGGAACCTGAACACCTATGTCACAAGGGACGAGGTGTTAGAGGCGGTGAGGAACCTGCGATATAAAGGCGGCAACACTTTCACAGGTAACACGAGCTTTATCTTCAGCTCCCCCACTCTCTGGCTGGGCTGCATGTAGAACCTCTCTATGATCATTAGCCAAGAGCTTAGCATCCTCCACATTAAGGGAGGAATAGTCTGGCCGGATGTGTCTGAATTGGATACAGGACCAAAGCAGCGTTACTTACGAGAATACAGTGCAGTCGCTGTACATGGTGCAGATATCTCTGACCTAAGCTATTGGTAATGAAGGAGAAGGTGCCTTTGCGTCTCTCGCATGTGCAAGTGCACCCTCCCCCCCACACACACTATGATAGCACCAATGCCCCAGCAAAAGGAAAGGCACGATTGTTACTTCTTTGACTGCATCACTACAGGAAATAATAATTGAATATGGACATCCTAAGGCCGGGCTGACGCCACCACCAGAGCAGCCACCGCTACTGTACTGGGAACTAGCTGAGCATCTGAAGTTGGGGAGGAGGGAGCAGCTCCCCCCTTCAGTCTCCCCAAATCCAACATGCGGCCTCAGCAGTACTCCCTTGGGAGACAGGTGCAGTCATCTCTATAGCACTCTCAGCCTCCGTGGGTCCAGGGAGATGAAGTCCAGAGATAATCTGGGAACCTTGGACTCCTGTACAGGATCTGGTAGGGCTTAAGAGCAGGATGAAGAATGAACTTCGCAAAGGGAAAATCATCTTCTTACTGTAAAGATTACAAGAAACGGTCTGGTTGATTATGGTTAAATTTGGGGAAAATCTATATATTCACCCAAATTCATTGCGTGATTGAAACATGTCACCATCTTGACCACTTGGCTTATATTTTATCCCTTTTCCCTACGCTTTGTCTGTCTGTCTTTTAGGCCCCGATTCAGCAGAGCACTGCCGCACTTGAAACAGTGAGAGCTAAGTGCATGCTTACGTGCTTTTGCTAAATTGGGGCTGTATCTTGTATGATCTTCAAGGCAGGAAATTTGCTTTCATTTATGTTTGGAAAACACCTAGTGCATTGTTGGCTTTGCTTAGGATATTAGTGTTTCATTATATTCCTGATCAGGTAAGAGGTCCATAAGTGACTTGGTAAAGTTCAGTGTGGTTTGGTTTTGGATTGTTTACGCTGCTGATACATCTGCGGCCTGATTTTATCAAATGTCTGTGTGGAACGTCAAGCCTAGTTTCCATGCGCAACTACTTTGATTGCGAGCAAAAATGGAATAAACATGCATGTAAATCAGGCACATAGTTTTGCACATGCATTTTTTTTAAAGGGACACTTCAAGGTTTATCTGCCCACAGTTTGCCTCACCTTTGTTCTCTTATTTGTTTGCAAAATCTCCACCATTCTGTACATGTGTGTGGAGTTCTACTTGAAACTGAAACTTCAGCAATCCCTTGAAACAAAGCAACTAACATCGCCCACCTGTGAGCAACCCCACAGTCGCAGAACAGCATTTAGGTCTGCAACGAAGTGAGGAAAAACTTTGGCATGCCAGAAATGTCAGTTCTAACCAATTACCCGCCGAAGGTTTATTTATAAAGCAAGTCATTGTAACCTTCTTTAAAAGACCTTTTTACAACAGTCTCTTTCAGATTGCAATGCAGGAGATCATCCCCACAGCACAGGAGCTGTGTTTGTATCCCTCATGCGGAATTGGTATACCCAGTTTTGACTAAGGAGCTGAGAAAGGTGTTTGTACTTCCCCAAGGCATGTGCATCTCTGCAATCTTGTTTTCAGGGATCTAATTCCATTCTTCTTTCTTCCCAAGGCCTCGCTTTGTCCCATGTCCTAGAACAAAATCTGAAACCTGAAGCTGGCGCCAGGTCGGACGCAGTCAAGCTGGTGATCCTCTTGACTGACGGAAAATCACAGGATGATGCCAACCAATCTGCCCAGACCTTGAAAAATATGGGCATAGAGATATTTGCCATTGGTAAGATTACAGCTTTTAATAACACCAGGTGGGGTTGGCCTAACTCTGTTCCCTTTGAAATCAATGGTAAACGCTATTGGACTTTAATCGAAGCAGTTTTAGGCCAACACTGAGTGCTTTGGAAAATCTTACCCATAAAGTTTGGCCTGTTGGTTGGTTATTATTTTACCATGATCAGATGGGCCATTAATGCATCATTCAGACATGACAGATAGATAGAATCTTCAAGGAGTGGCCAATGGTGGGATGTTGTGTTTTTGTTTTTAAAAACTAGTTTAGTTTTAATTAAAAGTTTTCTCATCACCTACACATCAAAATCTCTAACAGCCTCAGATTTGTATAATGGGAGACCAATGATTAGTAAACTGTTTACCTCAAAATGGAATTAAACAACCCTATTAGAGCTGGACATGAAATGGTTTTCCTGTCCTGCAAAACATTTTGAGATGTCAACAAATGTTCCCACTCGGAATTGGGACAAAAAAGTCAATCTCAAATTTTCATGAATTTTGGTTTCAGGTTGATAGAAACATTTTAAATTATTAAAATTAGCTTACATTTTAAAACAAAATTGCTTCAAAGTGGAAAATTAAATTTTTCTTTTTGAGGATATCCAAACAAAATGTTTCAACAATTTCAAAACTTCCCCTCCCTCCCCCCCCCCCAAAAAAACGTTGAGTTGAAAATTTGTTGAACTGATCCTGTCCTGCGAACAGTTTTGGTTTAGATGAATTGGCCATTTCCAAAGAGAACCATTTGGTTAAATTCCCAACCTATTGTATCTGGCAATCTGCCTCCAATTACATTCATTTGATTAACATTCTGTATTTCTAATAGTCTTATCTGCTCTTTGCCATCTGGCAGCAATAAGGAGGCATAAAATGACTGGGAGAGGAGCTGTCAATTATAACTGAATTTATCTAGTAAAGGTTAATGCAAGAGGAATAAAATTAAACAATAAAATATTACCCCCCCCCTCCCGTACTAGAAGTGGTTTATGGTGAGTACACCATAGAGAATTCATTGAATACCACTGTATGGCTATATCTTTTGCAATGTACTTTACTTAATATACTGAATGAAGACATTGACTGTAATAGAGTCTACAGCATAATACTTTAAAACCTGTGCATTTGGATGTATTGCCTGCTTTGACACTCCCCCTTGTTGTTTTGCTTAGGAATGTTTTCAGTGTTTGTGTAGTTTGACTCTAGACAGTCAGAACTTGAGTTACAGTCTCTAAAGAGGAAAGCGATTTACATCACCTGCCCAGATAATTATTCCTGTAGTGCCTAGGACCTGTAGTCATGGAGTAGGATCCCGCTATGCTAAGAGCTTTACAAATGCAGAACCAAAACACAGTCCTGGGCTAGACAAGGAAACACTACCCGGCCCAGGAATAATATGGCAAGAAATTATGGAGGTAGATCCCAACTCGAGATGGGCCCAAGCCACAACCGCCAAAGTTGGCTCTTTCCCAAAGTATGGGGACGCTTTAATCCAAGGTTTTGGTTTGGATCCATTTCTAATCCCACGTCAAGCCGGGAAAGATGAGCGTATTTGTTAAATACAAGATACCTTTTGGTGCTGGTTACTTTTTGCCTGTTACACAAAGAAAATCTCAAGAGAAACATCTTCCCAGAGGATTGCATGCTAATGGCCAGATCCCCATCTGATGTAGATGGCGTAGCTTCATTGACTTCACTGGAATTTCACTGATTTTCACCGGGATCTCCCTCTACATCTCTAATGTGCAAGGGTAAGGCATGGCATTCTACAGGCATAAGGCATTGGGCCTGATTCTGCACCTTGTATAGGCATTTATATCTGTGAAAAGCAAGTGAGAAGAAGTAAAACACTATCCAAATTGGGACCTGCTTTACCTATTGGTGAGCGACTACACCAGATGCAGAGCAATGGAGATTCAGACCCTTTGTGCACAGATGATATGCAGGGCTGGATTTGTGGAAAGAATAACAAGGATTTGTGATGGAGCTTTATGTTCTAGTGAACAGCAGATTCTCTGTGGGGGAAGCTGGCACCTCGTAAATATCAAAGTGTTAGTCATTCATTCATTGATTTCTACATATGTTCTGATTTGTCTTCTAGTGGAATATTTTCAGCCTCTGTGGTAGCCAAGCCTGCAGTAACAGGGTAGAGGGGAACTATTAGGAGGATTCGCAAGTGTCGCTCTGGACCACAAAAGACCCCCTGACTCCACTGTGTTTAAACACAATCCAGACATGCTCCTTAAAGGCCAGGTTGTGCTTTCTTTTCTTTATAGCTACAGGCAAGACTCCAGGGCACTGCAGAGTAGCACTACCCCATGGGGCAGGCTAGGAGGCATTTTTAGCCAAGAGACTGAAGTTGTGCTTGGCTCATTAAATAGGGGAAAGACCTTTTTCTGGCCCCGAGTCTTGTTCATCTCCTGGGAGTTTTCTTAGCTGACTGGCTCTTTGCTCTCTCTCTTTTCAGGGGTGAAAAATGCAGATGAGGCAGAGCTGAGACAGGTGGCATCAGAGCCCCTGGAGCTCACCGTGTATAACGTGCTGGATTTCCCCCTGCTCAGCTCGCTGGTCAGCAGGCTCACCCGCGTCTTGTGCACCAGGATCAAAGAGAAGCGCAAGAGTGAAAACTCAGGTGAGTTAAAGCCTGCAATCTCTGTTCAGTCCTCCCAGCTAGCCTGGCTTCCCCATCTCCCCCTGCAGTCCATGCCAAACGCACCCGCTATGCTCCCCTTCCTCACCCGCCCATTTTATCCCCTCTTCAAATCCTTCCACTTGCTCCCCACCTGCTGTCAGCTTATTGTCACCACCTCCAGAGCTCTGTCTACCTCTACCCTTCCCTGCGTATCCTCTCTTTCAGCTGTCTCCACTGCTCTGCCAGTGCTCCTCGCCTTGCCCACCTGTTTGCCAACCTCTCACACGGTCACCATCTTCCATACGATCCCCTATGCATGGTACAGCCTCCCTTGGTTCGTCTGCAAGGCCCCTACCCTCTCCATGCTGAAGTCCCTCTCGAAGACCCGCTTCTGCCAGGCTGCCTACAATGAGCTGATGTATGTATAAATGTGTGTGGTTCCCCTTCCCCTACCCTCCATCCTTAGATTGTGAGCAGCTTGGGCAGAGACTTTTGGGGGCGGGGAAGGCGGTTGGAAAGTATGTAGTGGGTGGTCCTGTACATAAATAACAGTAGGTGAATACACCGGTGTAGGGAAGAGAGGGACTTACCTGTCCAATGTATCCACTTCAATGCCCGTAAACAACAAATGCATTCTCAACCTGGGTCTCTCCCAAACGTACCCTGTGCAGCTGCATCACTGCCTGTTGGGTTCATCAGTGAGATGTCCCAAGCAAAGGATTAATTTGTGAGCACTGTGGGCTTTTGTTGGGTGGGGAGAAATTGCAAAATTATTGAGTATAAGCCTTTTGCCACCTGTAGTTCAAGCCATATGCCCTCAAGGGCCAGCTAAATACAAATCAGTGTGGTTTTTCTAGCTAAAGAGATGCTAGAACTAGACTGAAGGACTCCCCCCTCTACACCCCCAACCCAATGTTAGGCTGAGTGCCCAGTACCAATACTATATCCGTGTGTAGGTCCCCCCCCCTTTCAATTTTTAATCTCTGCTTATTTTTTCTGCAGATTTTCCTAAAATAGAATGGGAGAGTTCAACTTTCAAATGTACCTTTATTCAAGTGGGTTTGGAATTTGGCAAAATAAATGGACTCTTCCCTTTTAGTCTGTATCTGGTCCGATGTAATTAGACCAGTTTTTCTCAGGCATGCGATAGCCCAGAGAAAATGGGCTGTTTTTTAAAAAACAAACAAACAAACAGACCTTTTCTGGTTCAATTTGACTGTCTTTGGAACTGGCAAAAACAACAGGGAGTCTGGTGGCACCTTAAAGACTAACAGATTTATTTGG